CCGCTATGTTTTCCTTAGACTTAACATAGTCAATTGAAATGATTCCATTCGAGAGTAGTGTTGTCTTACGGTATCATGTCTACGACGTATGTGTCTAGACTTACCGTTATACATGACGTTCTTGGCCCTTCCAATAGCTGCTTGGCTATCACAATGTATGCATACGGCTGGGACCGGTCTTGGCCAATTAGGAACATCCTCAATAAAATTACGAAGTCATTCGGCTTCTTCACCGGCTTTATCTAAAGCAATAAATTCTGCTTCCATGGTTAACCTTGCAATGCAGGTCTGCTTGGACGATTTCCAAGACACAGCACCTCCACCAAGGGTGAACACATATCCACTTGTGGATCTAGTGTCGTTAGAGCCGGTGATCCAATTTGCATCACAATACCCTTCTATAACTGCGGGGTATTTCTCGTAATGCAAAGAAAAATTTTGAGTATACTTCAGGTATCCCAAAACTCTTACCATAGCTTTCCAATGATTTTCATTTGGATTACTAGTACAGCGACTTAAAAGACTTACTGCATAAGCAATATCAGGTCTGGTGCAGTTCATAACATACATCAGGCTTCCCAACACTTGAGCATATAGCTTTTGTGTTGTAGCTTTACCAGTGTTCTTTAGTAAACTAAGATTACAATCGACAGGGTTCCTCACAGGAGTTATATTCAAACTTTTGAATTTCTCAAGAACCTTAGCTATATAGTGAGCCTGTGATAAGGCCAACCCTGCAGATGTTCTATGGATTTTAATACCTAGGATAACGTCTGCTATCCCCATATCTTTCATATCAAACTTACTATTAAGTAACTGTTTAGTAACTTTAATCATTTGATTATTACTACCCATGATCAACATGTCGTCTACATAAAGACAGACAATGTTTTTCAGTATTTCGAACATAGACACATTTGTCACACTCATTGATTCGAAATCCATTTGATAACATAACATTGTCAAATTTCGCATGCCATTGCTTTGGAGCTTGCTTTAACCCGTAAAGGGATTTTATTAAGCGACAAACTTTCCATTCTTGTCCTGGAACAACAAAACCTTCAGGTTGTTCTAAATATATAACTTCTTCCAGGTCGCCGTTTAAGAAGGCGGTCTTAACATCCATTTGATGTATTTGTAATCCATTCAGTGCAGCTATTGCGATCAACATCCTAATGGATGTGATCCTTGTAACCGGTGAATAAGTATCGAAATAATCGAGACCTTCACGTTGCCTGTAGCCTTTTACCACAAGCCTTGCTTTATATTTATCAATAGTGCCATTCTCTTTCATTTTTCTTTTGAAAACCCACTTACTTCCTAAAGGCTTATTGCCAGGAGGAAGGTTTACCAATTCCCAAGTGTGGTTGGACAAGATAGACTCTATCTCACTATTGATAGCCTCTTCCCAGAATGGTCCTTCCAGGGACGTTATAGCTTCCTTATACATCCGAGGCTCATTTTCTAATAAATATGTCATAAAATCAGGTCCAAAGGATGTAGCGGTCCTTTGCCTCTTGCTACGTCTAGGTTCATCTTCTACATCCTCTACAGGATCAGTATCAGTTGTAGCATCCCGAGGTATCACAACCTGATCATCATTACTACCACTTGATTCATGTATTTTCTTATACGGAAATACATCTTCAAAGAAAGTAACTTCCCTTGATTCAATAACCGTATTAACATGTATATCTGAAACGTCAGATTTATACACAAGAAACCGATAAGCACTACTATTAGGTGCATAACCGATGAATACACAATCCACGGTTTTAGGTCCGATTTTCAACCTTTTAGGTTTAGGAACCGCAACCTTAGCCAAGCACCCCCACACTCTAAAGTATTTCAGGGATGGCTTCTTTCCTTTCCATATGTCGTATGGTATGCTCTTTGTCAAACACCCCCACACTTCAAGATAATTCAAGGTAGACTCCCTACCTTTCCATATTTCATAGGGGATGTTCTGAATTTTCTTGTGGGATACTTTACTTATTATATATAATTTGTCATTAAATGACTTTTTCCCACAAACCAGACATCAACAAGATCATTTCATGTAATGTTTGGTTCTTTCTATCAGCAATCCTATTGGATTATGGAGCATAAGGAGCCATCATTTGGTTTATAATACCAAACTCTAAACAAAATTTCTCGAAGGAGCCATCATACTCTCTCCATCGATTGCTCCTTATAACTTTAATTTTCTTATTTGGCTACAACACATATACCAAATAATAAACTTTATTTTAACCATAAAATAATACACAATTGTCATGTCATTGACAACATTTAAAGTCATCACATTGACTTTGATCATGCCATCACTAAGATAGCTCTTTTGAGTTCACATAGTATCAAATATTTCACTAGATATAAGATTTTTATATCCATCAAAGCACATAGTGCATTGTTTAAGCAAGAATTATCACTTGCCTAAATCATAAAGTCAAACTTTCACATTTATAAGTCACGAGTTAATGGATATCAAACACCATCATATACCATCAAGTCCATTAAGTGTACCATATACAATTGAATGCCAATAAATGCATGACATTTCCCACATAATAATTAATATAACAAAATATTCATGTCATAAATATTTCGCATTTATCATACTATATACCATTAAATGGCATCAAATTTCACTGCATTTCTCATTGAACCAGCATCAAAGTAAGCACTCAAAACCAAAGGTCATATATCAATTTTTGGTACCATGCTTATAAATATATAAAGCCATTTCACAAAAGACTTAATATAATTGAAAAAACCATCAACCACCAAACCGGATTCATCGCAAATCATGGTTGTCTTTCACGAAACAATTCTTTTAGAATGAAGCCATGCATATAATTAGAACAAAGTTCACAAAATTCAAAACATTATATAGCAATGTTTTCACGTTAAACTTACAATTCACCAAAAAGTTTCCAATGACATTTTCCAATGGCATTTTACATATATTCTTTCCCTTTATGTAATGCATTAAATACATAATATACTGGCATGCATTAATGGAATTACATCAACCGACATATCTGATTTTTTTTTTTAAATACAAACATATCTGAATTTTTCATTCATCTTTCTGCACCATAGAAGTCACTAAACTTCAATTTCAAATATATGCATAAAGCACACAAACTTCCCATGTTGTGCCTTAATCAACATATGTGCATCGTAATTTTTTTTATTTTTTTTTTATCCAAACAAAATTATTATTTCCAACACAAAAAACGAAAAGCAATTATCGTTACAGGAACTCATATATACATTGAAAGGCCATATGCCCATATCAATGCACGATTATCGAGAAGGAAATAATATATATCAAAGAGGTATGATACTTGAGGAGAAAAGTAATAGAAATCAATTGAATACGTAACAGAATCCAAGTCGGTGATTTTACTAACCATGGCTATTCAAAACTAATAAGCATGGACACGAAAATTGAGACAAGTAATATATCTCAAAACCAAAAGAAAACATGTATCCAAACTATAAAATGAAAAGCAATTAATCGGATTCTATAGATATAGAATAATGGCAACAAACCATAAAGCAAACATGCAGACTCGTAACAGTGACGGTTCTAATTTTAGAAAAAATTCCAACTTCTTACATAAGAAGCACGTGAACCGAGAAGAATTAATTTATTATCTGTGTTAGAAGGCAAAATCATTGAAACATGAATTTGACATAATTTTTGCAAACACGGATATCAAACAAAGATTAATTGAAAATCCGCCATTTGAATATTCACAAACCAAATAACTAACACGGATTAGTATTAAAACGAAGGTGTCTTAATACACAGATTAGAGATCCCCTTTCTGTTACACAAACAGAAATTACAATTAATCACACAGATTAATTTATCACACAGATTAATAACACATATTAATCACACAGTAAATAAAACAGAAACAGTATATAAAACAAGAAACAGGATATACTGATCACAGGTTCAAAACACCAAAATTGTCTTAAGATTGTTATTGAAGACAGTGGGTGATATTATATCACTAAAAGATTGAACCCATGTATAGAACCAGAGGAGGTAGATGATCAGAATTATCACTGTGCAATTATAAATATTAAAATTAAAGAACTGACTTACTTGAAATCAGATGATGATGCAAGCAGAATGATAGAACAGATAGAATGATATGTCAGAAGTAGAGGAATTAAATCCGAGCCCACAGAACGTGTCTCCTTGAGACAATTTGCCCCCTCACCGATGCCTAAGGTTGATGGACACTTGTCTCCCAGGATAGAACGGATTACGTCTGAAGAATGGTGGCACTACCAATCAACAGCCCAAACAAACACAACAATTGCCAGAGGAAATCACACCGGAGGATGAACAACAGTATGCAAAATCGGAAGGAGAAAAATTCCGGCAGAGTTTAAGTGCAGAAAACTGGATTCATTTTATGGTGTCAGTGTCTATTTATAGACACTGACCGGTCACGTTTCAAAATGCACCTATTCGACGACGAAACAACACATCCGTTGGACACGAAAAGACACATTCGTTCAACACGAAAAGGCACCCATTCAAGGATGAAACAACATGTCCGTTAGGATGAAACAACACATCCGTTAGGATGAAACAACACATCCGTTAGGATGAAACAACACAGCTGTTCAGATGAAACAACACATCCTTTAGGATGAAAAGATACATCTGTTTGTCGACGAAAAGACACACCCTTTCACTACCAAACTTCTAAAACTATTTTATGCATCCATTTTTGAAGAGAGGGGGACAAAGAATTCAAAATAAAGTCATCAGTTAAATAAGATATCCCCTAAAGTTTTACTTTTTATCACAATGCACAGCTTTTCCATGGTATGACTTGTTCAAGAAAGCGCTTTTATTGCAAGAATCTTCCTTACTTTATTTGATTAAGAGTTATCAGTGACCTTATTATATAACCAGAAGAATCCACACTGTCTTGCCTTCTGGAATATGGTTCCAGGTCACATACCTCGCATAAGTTATAAACAAGTCACGTGCTAATGGCCTAGCCTGTATAGTTCCAAAAAATTCCAATGACTGCCGCTGTATCATCATCAACAGAAGAATGAGTGCATGAGATAAAATCATGTTGCTCTAAACATGACAAACAAGATAACATTTAAAGTATAAGCCAATACCTTTTGCCAAATATGAAAAAGGACAAGGTAAACAAGGTCTGTATCACCACATTCAGTTGCCTTCATCAAGGCTGTATCTTCTTCTCCTATGCTTAACAAAAGAGGAACCTGAACAGAAGAGTTAATCAGTATGATAACAAATATTCCAATGAACAAATTAAATTTGCTTGGATGAAACAAAGGAGACATTAGACACCAGCTAAAAAATGGGGGGACAAAGCAAAGACTGATAACCCATTAATTCATCACGTATCTACAAAACCAGAAAATCAGGACACCACCTGTTTAGAAGAGCGAGGTTCATGTTCAACAAGCAAGGCAGCTAACTTCCGGCGGCCATTTTTATCTGCATGAGCAGCAACTGCTGCATAGGATATGCCTTTGCACAGTTTTAACTGAGAATAAAAAAATGTAAGTCAAGAATTGTCACAGAAAATAGAATAACTAAACAGAGTTTGAAGTGGAGGGAGGGAAACCTTGTCAAGCAGAATCTCTAGAAGAGTGGCATCGGGAATTGCCAATGAAGCAGTTATCTTTGAACATGCCCAGTGCATTATTACCACCTCCTACGCAAAAGCAGTCACGAAAAAAATCAAACTCACACTATACTTATAGAACACTGCTAATGTACAAATGATATCATTAATCAGAAAACAAGGAAAAAGACTATCAATCAATAGTATTGTTATGAATTTATTACCAAGCAACGGTCAATAAGGAGACTTGGGACTAGGAATAATGGTCAACCCAGTATATTAGAGTTTGGGAAAAGAGAGAGAGGAGAGAAGAGAGAAGAAAGCCATAGTATTGTTATTGAATATTCTGACGAAGAAAATACAGAGAGGCACTATTTATAGTACTTTAACATTCTAACAGAACAGAAAGCTAACACTAACAGACTAACAGATAACAAAACAGAAAGTAGAAGAATAATCCTATACAACCAGAAATATAATGAACAGATACACCAACTAACTAAGCTGGAAGCTAAAGCTTATATATTCTAATTGTTGAGATATATAAAACCATTAATGTAGTCTCACCCAAAAGCTTAAGCTTTTAGGTTGAATTGGTTCTTTATATAGTATCAGAGCCTCGTGTCCCGGGTTCGATTCTCGCCGCCCCCCACTTTCTTTCAAGTGGAATTTTTCTTTGTTCGCACAGGTAGGTGGGCCTGTGCATTGTCCACCCTTCAAGCCTAGTGGGCTCTCGTATTAGGGGGCGTGTTAGAGTATAATATAAACCATTAAAGAGGCCCTCACCTAATAGTTTAAGTTGTTGGGTTGAATTGGTTCTTTATAAAACCATTAATGTAGCCTCACCCAAAAGCTTAAGCTTTTGGGTTGAATTAGTTCTTTATATGGTATCAGAGCCTCGGTGTACCGGGTTCGATCCTCACCGCCCCCCACTTTCTTTCTAGTAGAATTTCTTTCTTCGCACAGGTAGGTGGGTTGTGCATTGTCCACCCTTCAAGCCCAGTGCGCTCTCGTGTGAGAGGGCGTGTTGAGATATATAAAACCATTAATGTAGCTTCACCCAAAAGCTTAAGCTTTTGGGTTGAATTGGTTCTTTACACTAATACCCTCCCGCAAATTCAGCAGTGGTTGGAATCAAACACTCTAAGTTTGGTATGTGTTGAGATATATAAAATCATTAATGTAACCTCACCCAACAGCTTAAGCTTTTGGGTTGAATTGGTTCTTTACATGGTATCAGAGTCTCGTGTCCCGGGTTCGATCCTCGCCGCCCCCCACTTTCTTTCAAGTGGAATTTCTTGGTTCGCACAGGTAGATGGGCCTGTGCATTATCCACCCTTCAAGCCCAGTGGGCTCTCATGTGAGGGGGCGTGTTGAGATATATAAAATTATTAATGTAACTTCACCCAACAACTTAAGCTTTTGGGTTGAATTAGTTCTTTACAGTATGCAATTCAGCAAACTGAGCAGAAGTTAAAGCCTTCGTGAGTGTATCTGCAATCTGGTTTGAGGCAGGTATACGAGACACTTGAAGTTCCTTGCAAATAACTCTCTCACGGACAAAGAACATATTGAGTTCCATATGCTTAGTGCGAGCATGAAGCACAGGATTATGTGATAGTACCATTGTACTCATGTTATCGCACAAAATCTGAGGAGTGGAGAGAGGCACCTGAAGTTCACGAAGAAGGGACTGAATCCAAAGAATTTCTGAGCAATTGGCAGCAAGACTTTGATACTCAGCTTCAGTGCTGGAACGAGCCACCAATGTCTGCTTCTTTGACCACCAAGACACAAGATTAGGACCAAGATATACACAAGCACCAGATGTGGATCTCCTATCATCTAGATCACTGGCCCAATCAGCATCACAGAAAGCAGTAAGAGAAAAGGGCCCGGAAGGAGCTGCTGGACTGAGGAAAAGACCAAACGAAAGTGTACCTTTAAGGTACCTAAGCATTCTTTTTACAACCAGCCAATGATCATCAAGTAGTTGAGCCATGAACTGACATACTTTATTGACTGCATAGCTGATTTATGGTCTAGTGATGGTGGCATATTGCAAGGCACCAACAATGGATCTATAGAAATAAGGATCATGAAAATAGGATGAGCCACACCTAGAAAGTTTGCACCCAGTTGGCATTGGTGAAGAAATACCTTTAGCTTCATTCATTGTTGCACGCATTAACAGGTCTATGATATACTTAGTTTGACATAAGCTCAAACCACCCGACGCATGTTTCTTCACCTCAACACCAAGGAAATAGTCTAATTCACCCAAGTCCTTCAAAGCAAACTGAGAGTTAAGCTTAGAGATAAGTTGCCGAATAAAGGAAGGGTCAGTCCCTATCACAATGATATCATCAACGTATACAAGGACATAAACACTTGCAGTGGCAGATTTGAGAATAAACAGCGATGGATCACAACAACTGGACTTGAAACTGAGAGAAATCAAGGCACATTTCAGTTTATCAAACCAAGCTCTAGGAGCTTGTTTTAGACCATAAAGTGCCTTATTTAATTTACAGACCAGGTTCTTATTCATGTGCTAAAAACCCAGGGGCTGAACCATGAAAACTTCCTCCTACAAGTCACCATTGAGAAAAACATTGTTAACATCCAATTGTCTTAGAACCCAGCTGAGTCAAGGCCAAAGTGAGCATTATTCTGATTGTAATAGGTTGAACTATAGGGCTGAATGTCTCATTGTAGTCAAACACAGCTTGTTGATGGAAACCTTTGGCAACCAACCTTGCCTTGTACTTGTTGATTGACCCATCTGGATTTTCTTTAACTCTAAAGTAAAGACCCATTTGCAACCTATAGCTTTTCTGTTAGGAGGCAAGTCAACAAGAGTCCAAGTATTATTAGCTAACAAAGCATCAAATTCAGACTGCATTGCCTTAAGCTAAGGGGGACTAGTTAAAGCTTGTTTCACAGAGGATGGTTCAACATAAGTGAGGAGAGTCAAAGAACGAGCCAAGGTCTTAGAACGAGTTTGAATGGAATGACCAAGAGACTGAACATGAACAGAAGCAGGAGCCTAGCTAATAGAGTGAAATAGTTGTTCATGTAGAAGCAAGAGAGTTTGACTTGAAGCATATGCAGGGTCTTCCTGGTGTTTCCATGGATATTATTGTAAAAAATAGAATTATTTTATTATTATTTTGTACTATATAAGTGTATTTGGGCTTAGCCCATTAGGTTTTTTAGTCTCTTTAAATAGAGAACTCTTGTACAAATATTATACAATTCAATTATATACAAATCTTCTTTTCTAGTTGGTATCAGAGCTCTCGATTCTGAGGGTTCTGCTTCCGCAAATCACTACCTCTAAAAAATTAAACCCTTTTGCCTCTCGCCGCCGCCAGAAAAAAAATTTCCGTGGACCTTTTGGACCGTGAGGACCCCCTGTTTCACTCTGTTTTCTCAGATCTATCATTCTACGGAGGTTTCTTTTTCATCAAACGACTGGAACAGCTCTAGAAAAAAAAAGCGTACTATTCATCGCTCGCACTGTTCATCGGGGTACTGTTCACGCGACATGTTCATCGCACACTGTTCACGTGAGTGACACTGTTCATCGCGCACTATTCATCGGTACTGTTCACCCGGGAAAAAAAAAAAAAAAAGGAAAAATTTATTTTATTTTTTTTATCAACTATGTTTGGTAAGATCACACACCCTACATCTCTTCTTTCATCTTGCACTCATTTCAAAAATTCATGGATTATGGATTCTGGTGCAACTGATCATATGACCTGTCTAGCTGATTCTTTTCTTTCATATCACCCTACTAGTGGATCCGTACTATAGCTGTAGCTGATGGATCCCACAAATCAGTTGTGGGTTCTGGTAACATTCAAATTCAACCTTCTTTATTTTTAAAGAATGTTCTTTATGTTCCTCAGCTCTCTACCAATCTTATCTCCACTTATAAGCTTACAACTGACATGAATTGTGCTATCACATTTTTTTCTACTCATTATGTTATTCAGGATATCACCACGGGGAGGACGGTTGGAGTTGCTAAGGAGCAAGGTGGGTTGTACTATCTCATTCCAGAGCATGCTACAAGGGATACCGGGAATCAATTATTAATGAGTCATCACCCGTCTACTTCATTCTCACAGATTTGGCTTCATTACAAACGCCAGGGGCACCCGTCATTTGGCTTATTGAAGTCAATGTTTCCTTCTTTGTTTAAGGATCAGGCAATTGACTCCTTCCATTGTGATGTTTGTGAGCTTGCGAAACACCATCGTTTGCCCTTTCCTTCAAGTTCAATAAAGAGCATTGAGCCTTTTACTCTTGTCCATTCAAATGTTTGGGGCCCGTCTAAAGTACATAATATTTCAGGTGCTAGGTGGTTTGTTTCTTTTATTGATGATTGCACTCGGGTGACATGGATATTCTTGATGAAAGACAAGTCAAAAGTACCAGAATTGTTTATTCGATTTTATCAAATGATCGAGACACAGTTGGTAAAAGTATTAAGAGATTAAGATCTGACAATGGTACGGAGTATGTCAACCAGCGTCTGTCACAATTCGTTTCAGATAAGGGTATGATTCATGAGCTCACATGCGTGGATACCCCTCAACAGAATGGGGTTGCTGAAAGAAAAAATCGACATTTGCTTGAAGTCACAAGAGCATTATTGTTTCAAACATCTGTACCCAACTTTTACTGGGGAGAAGCCTTATTAACTGCAGCCTATTTGATCAACCGCTTGCCTTCCAGAGTCCTTGGCCATGTAAGTCCTGTTGATCTCATGACCTCTTTTTTTCCTTCTGTTCCAATTATGCAAAGTCTCCAGTCTCGTATCTATGGATGTGTTGCCTTAGTCCATATCCATAAACAACATCGGAGAAAATAAGAGCCAAGAGCCCTTAAGTGTGTCTTCCTTGGTTATGCTCCCAACAAGAAAGGATACAAATGTTACCACCCTCCAAGTTGTAAATTCTTTGTCTCTATGGATGTTAGCTTCCATGAATCTGAGTCTTACTTTCTACACCCTCAGCTTCAGGGGGAAAATAGTGTAGAAGCTTCATCCATTTTCTTCGAGTCTGAGTCTCCCTTTC